AACGACCATTCAGGTAAGCCAACTGTCATTCTGTGAAATCTGCTGTTGTGGTTTGCAAAGTATGATAGTGTTAAGTATAAAGTAGGCGTTGACTCTGGGGTTAAAAAACATGGCACACAGTGAATTAAAAATAAAAGATATGAAACGATGTGGGATGGCATCGAACTGAAGGCATATAAAAGGCAGTATTTTAGAGATTGAATGGAAATGAGATATTGAAAAGTGAAATTAAAATGAATGTTATGTTAACATCCAAGAAAAATTGATGGAAAGGTAAATGCTGAATATGTTTAAAATGGTAATGTTGCACCTGGAGAAATGTTGAAATACAGATGTTGTTGTTTACTGATGGAGTGGTTATATGACATTACAAGTATATATGCCTGGAGGAATGCTGTTATTGTTACCTCCACAAAGGGAAAGATAGTGAATTAAAAAATTATAAGAGGAAGGAATTTGAAACTATTCTAAATGAAAAGTCAGAAGAGGCGAGCATTATAGTGTGGACTAATGGTGGCAGAAGATATGTCCAGGCCATCTTTTTGCTCTTCAGCATTTTACTGAAAATATTTATTGTATATCTGTTTACTGAAAGCTTATGAGAAAGTGAATGGACTTGAGTTATGAAATATTTTGTGTGAATATGAAATTGAAGATTGGTTGCTAATATGGTAAGTGCACATTTGAATAAGTGAAACACTGAGCAGAGAGTAAGATATAAATGTGTAATGATCCCTTGGTTATTTTGTATTAATGATATATTCATAAGACATGCTTGCTAGTGGTATGCTGTTTGGGAATGTTCACATTCATACAGTTTTGTTTGTAGATGGTGCTGTGTTTGAGACTCTGAATATTTACAGCGAAGAATAATCTGAAAATTAATGTCTCATTGGTCAAGTTAATTGTGTCCATCAAATAAATGAAGGGCACAATGGAAATATTTTTTTACAAATGATGAAAAATTGGAACATGTAAATGAGTATTCACTTTATAGGAGGTAGGAAAATGGAGAAAATTTAAGACATAAAGTTGGGTAGAAAAGTGGTGGTTGACATGTAATTTGTTGCAAAAAAGGAATGTTAGCTTTTTAAAAAAGTTAAAAATCGCTGTACATGGAATCATGTTTCTGCATCATTTTATATAGATGCGAGAGCAGGGTATTCAGGAGAAATATAAAAATAAACAATCAAGTAAAGAATAGGATATTTAGATGTTTGGGTAAAACAAGAAAAACAGAGCTGACAATGAATGGTTGCTGAATTACTATGAACTGAATACAAAAATGAATGGCCAATATGAAAGAAGTAGGTTTGAGGTAGTTTGGTTATGTAGAGAGAGAGAGAATGAAGATTTAAATGACAGAGCAAGTACTGTACATGAAGATATTTTAGATCTATAGAAATCACTCATAAAAATTACCTCATAATGCTGTATTTATTAATATAAAAATATAAAAATAATATAACATTATTTCATTGTAAAATTTCATGAAATCTTTCCAAAGAAAAATATTGCTTCATTTTCAGATTGATAATTATTATATGACATTGAGTCACTGCCTATCCCTAATGACCATGTAGATTTTTTTAAAAAATTACAACCTGTCCCTAACCTGGTCTTTCAACTTTTTTAATAGTATGGCATTTGAATGTCTTTTCCAAGATTTGTGATTGCTCTACCAAGTGCTAATCTGTGACATACAGGCTGTACTCGATTTACAACAGTATGTCTAGTGACAATTGAAAGTTACAATGGCACTGAAATATGTGACCTATGTCCGTTTTTCAGTTATGATCTTTGCAACATCCCCAGGATCATGTGATCAAAATTCGGACACTTGACTTATATTTATGACTGTTGGCTGTGTCCCAAGGTCATGCAATCTCCTTTTATGACTCAAAAGTGCTTTTTAAAGAAGCAACTGGACTTTCTGCACCTTTGGGACAACCATGACCTGGATGACTCAGACTCTCCATAGACATTCTGCTTTTATGATCTTCTGACAAGCAAAGTCAATGGGAAAGCCAGATTTGGTTAACAACCAAGTTACTAACTTGTCACTTAACAACTGTGGCAAGAAAGGTCATAAAATGGGCCAGACTTACTTAACAAATGCCTCATTTAACAACAGAAATTTTGGGTTCAACTGTTATTGTAAGTTGAGGACTACCTGTATTTCTTGACTGCTTGTTCATTTGCTGTCGATTGATCCTAAAAGGCAGAAGCTGTTTACCACTTCAGTATCTTCATTGTCAATTCTAAGGGTGGTTATTTTATCTGTTGTCATTAGTTCAGTCTTCATTTTTAATTCTGCTACTATTATTTTTTCACTGTGCTTCTTAATTTTATTACTAGAGATTTCAGATAGTTTCAGTTATCAGGATAGAATTATCAGCGTAACACAGGTTATTGACGTTTCTTCCTACAGTTTTAAGACTATGTTCATCTTCTTGCAAATTTCTCTTAATTATATTTCTAGTTTAGGAGTTGCATAAATAAGGGATGTGTGTCTGTGTGTATTTGTTGTGCTCTTTTGTCAATCTGAAGCTGGTATGCTTAACCATATTCTGTGGCTGCCTAAGTTTCTCATGAGGACGAGACATTCAGGATTCTTCTTTTTTCTAAGCACATTCCGTAGCTTGATGTGATTGACACAACCAAAGGTCTTTCTGTAATCAATGAAACATTGATTCTTTGGCTTTCTTAATTATTTAGCTTTCAGTAGCAATAATGTCTTGTATTCCTTTGCCTTTTCTAAAGCCAGAACATCTGACATTTTTCCCATATAAAGCTCTAATCTGCATTGGATAATCCTAAGTATTATTTTTCTAGTATGTGAAATTATAGATATTGCACAATAGTTTGCATATTCCATCACATTTCATTTTTTAAATATTGAAATGTAGATTGATCTCTTCCAAACTGTTCACCACTGTATCATTCTCTAGATTTGCTAACATAGTTTGGTTATAATCTTTACTGTTGCTTCCCATACTTTTGTATGTATTTTTGTAGCCTTCCAATTTGGAAATGACCAGAGTGCAGATATAACTTCAAGTACTAGAGATTCTTATAATATTTTCTAAGATATCTTATATGTTGACTTCTCTGTTCAAGTATTTCAGTATACTCTTTACATTGTTGTTTTATCATCTTTGAACTAGTTCCTATTTGCCCTTGGTGCTCTTTGGCATACTAGTTTGATGTTAGAGCTTCCTCTTGGGTTCAGAGATCTTTTTCTTGTTTTTCCTTGTCTGTTTCCATCTTGTACAGTATAATTTTACAGGTGTTGAAATACTACTTGTCTCTTTTAACAGCTCTCTAAAACCTATTAATAAATTCTTTTATGAGATTTTTGTCTCTTGGCAATTTCCACAGTTCGTTCTGCATCTACATTCTTATGTCCTTCATTTTTGGCACTCTCTTTTCTCATTCCTCCTTAGTCACTAAGTGTATTCCACAATTCCTCTGGTGCTCTATGTGAGGTTTAGGACTTCAAAGTAATTCCTGATGTTCCTCTTGAAAATGGTGGGTATATGTTCAAGATCATAATGTGGAAATAGATTGTTTTGTTATGTTTTAGCTTAACACGGAAGATGAGCAGTTTGTGGTCTGTTCCAGTCAGCATTGCCTGTGTCCTTGAATTAAGTTCCTTTGTCTCTTTTTCACAATACAGTTATTTATTTTCTCATTAATAGAAAAAAACCTGATTTTTATTCTTTTAAATGATTTTAGTATTTTTAATTTAATTAACAGCTCAGAGTCATTAACTGAGATGTATGACTATAGAAAATGAATGACTGAATGAATGAATTTCAGTAGTTTTAATGCCTTCTGCTGGGCTCTTTAGAACAGTGGCATATTTATGAATTCAGCTTGGCTTTTGTTAAATTACTAATATTCTTGGATTAATGTAACTAAGGTTGACTACAAAATATTTGCAAATGCTACTTGTTTCAAAACTCCATTTTTTGCTGTTGTTATAGTCCTGTGATGCGAACCTATGGCACGCGTGCCACAGGTGGCATGCAGTACCCTCTCTGTGGGCACGCGAGCCATCGCCCCAGTTTAGCTCTGCTGTGCATGTGCAAGCACCTCCCGCTGGCCAGCTGGTTGTCAGGTCTCTGCCGCACATGTGCAGGGATTGGGATTCATGCATGGAGAGGCGCGCATTGCATTTTGGGGATTCAGGCGGGTGCGCATTTGTGTATGTGCATGCACACTTTGGGCACTTGGTCTGGGAAAGGTTAGACATCACCATTATAGTCTATAGTATATGTGCCTTTTGATGATTGGTAGGTTCTGTGCTTCCTTTTACTTTGAGTCATTTGGGAAAAGCAGGGTAGCGTATATGCAGAGAGAAAGGGAAGGTATTTGTCATAGTTAGCAACACGTCTGAAACATTAATAATCTTTTTGTTAAAAACTGTTTTGTCTCATGCCTCAAAGCTAGTTCTTAAAGGGAATATAATTTTTGTTTATTTCTGTTTTCAAATAAGTTTGGTATTTTAACATATTAAAGAAGAAGCTGCCTGCTTCTTCTGTTCCTGACTTTTTGGGTCGTATATTTCAATCAATTCACTTTAATCTTATTTCATAAATTATTATTGTGGGGGAAAGAGGAAAGATACAGTGTATGTTTGCCACTTTGAGTTACTTATAAAGTAATAAAGGTGTGATTTAAAAAAACTGGTGATTTGGGGCCAGTTTCTCTCTCCCAACCTACTTACCTCCCAGGGTTTTGTGGTGAATGTAGGAGGAGGAAATAGTATTAGGTATGTTTGCCATCTTGAATTATTTATAAATATAAAGGTGAATATAAATAAGTAAGTAAATAAATATAAGTTCCACTCTCTGTCTTTATCTAAGTACAGGTGGACTTAGCATACTCTCTGGAATTGAAAAATTTCTAGTAATTTTACATAGCAGGATACCATCTTGTAATTGTAGAATTGTGTAAGGTGTAAACATGTACACAAGCTCTGTTGTTATTTATAGGTGCTGTTAGTTAGCAGTAGTCGTCATCCTGACAGATGGATTGTCCCTGGAGGTGGAATGGAGCCTGAAGAGGAGCCTAGTGTGGCTGCTGTGCGGGAAGTTTGCGAAGAGGTATGTTTTCAAATTCTGCTTGGATCCAAAATAGTCTATTCTTTCTATTCATTCTTTTCACTTTTCAAAATTATCCAAGTATTAATTGTATAGTACAGATAGCGCTCAAGTTACAAGTTCATGTAATAATTGGTCAAAAATTTACAATGGCACTTGAAAAAAAGTGACAATTTTTCATACTTATAACTGTTGCATCATCCCCTTGGTCACATGATCAAAATTCAGATGTTTGGCATTGGTTAAGATTTATGATAGTTGCAGTGCCCTGGAGTCATTTGCAACCTCCTGAGACGCAAAGTCAATAGGAAAGCCAGATTAACAACCATGTTCCTAAGTTAATCACTGCAGCAATTCACTTAATTGTAGCAAGAAAGGTCGTAAAATGGTGCAAACCTCACTTAACAACTGTCTTGTTTAACAACAGAAATTGTGGGCTCAATTGTCATACATTGAGGACTACCTATATTCTTTATAGGCTTGTTAATGAGCAACAAAATTTGCCTACTTTTCCTGTTTTCAATAGTAGTTAAGAATTGTGGCAAAAAAATATAAAACCTTCCCATTGAGAAACTATTGCCTAGTATATTGTTTTCATGACAATGGCCTATAGAGGAAGAGAAAAATCCATTTTTGTTGAAACATCTCAAAATAGTTTGCTTTTATGTACTTTTGTGATACTTTACAAATGTGATCCTTTTGTGAAGGATTAAATGTGAACCCAAACTGTATATGTATATTATAACCTATAAAATGGAATAACAAATGTATAAGAATGATAAATATAAAAAAGAAAAATAATTATGTGAATGTATACTTAAATGGTATATAAGAAAATAAAAAAATAAAAATTTTCTGAGGGGGAAAAATTAAATGTGATCCTTTTCAAATTTATCTCAAATTGTCATCCAGTGCCTTTAAGAAATAAAATTTCCAGAAATTTTATACCTGAGAAGAATTAAACTATAGGACATGGGACCAGGTTCCTTATAAGTTTGCATCTGTCCTATTACATCTACTCATTCCATCTGGTCTAGCAGGGTGATGGGCATGTTGCATGTGCTTTATGCTAAAAAGAAGACTAATATTGTTAGTAGACAGGCAGTTTAGACTGTTCAGTGAGCTTATCTAGAAATTGCTTTTGCCACCACTACTGGCATATCACTATACGAGTCCAGGATAACTTGCCACAGCCAGCTGACCACTGCTAGCTCGCCACTGCCAATCACCTCTGCCAACTCGCTGCCAAATTGCCACAGAACAACACATGGCCAGCTCACCACAGGGACATCGCCACACATAGCCAGAGGCAAAGCTGTTGGGCAAGCAAATAGGTGGGCAGAGTACATAGTGCATCAGAGTGGGTGGCAAAAGAGGTGGCAGCAGCTGGAGGCTTCCCATTTTCACAACCCCCACCACTGCTGCTGTGGACACGGAGCCACTGACAATGCTGCCACTGCAATGGGCTTGGAGCAGCCTCCATGGCCACTGCCATACCAGCAGTGGTAGCATTGATAGTGGAGGCTCCATGCCTAGTGTGGTGGCAGCAACATTGGCAGCAGCGGCTCTGCACCCAGCACAGAGGTGGCAATATTAGCAACAGAGGCTTTGTGCCCAGCATGGTTGCAATAACATCAGTGGCTGTGCCAAGCCTGGTTTAGTCATGGAATCAGTGGTGACGCACTAGGCTCAGAGCTGCTGCAGCACCAAGCTCAGAGCCTAGCGTATCAGCAGGGTATATGTGAAAATGGGAAGCCCCTAGCTGCTCCCACCTCCCTGCTGCCCATCTTGACTACTGCTACTACAGTTCCCAGCTTCTGCTCAGAGCTTGGTGTGAAAATGTCCCCAGCCACTGTTGCTTCCCCACTGCTCTGCACTCTGCCCACTCACCTGTTTGCTTGCTTGTGCTGCCATCTCTCTGTCCACCTGCGGCAGGTTCTCCCTGTGGAGAGTTGGCTATTTGCAATTGTCCTGCAATGACTTGGCAGTGGCGAATTGGCAGTGGCAATTTGGCTGTAGTAAATTGTCCAATTCTGCACTATACAACATCTGGCAAATGAGTTTTCATATACATTTTTTATGTCAAATCATGGAACATGGCATATAAGATCGATCGATCATTCCTCCATCCATCCATCCATCCATCCATCCATCCATCCATCCATCCATCCATCCATCCATCCATCCATCCATCCATCCATAAGGCCGCCCATCTTTAAACACACCTGGAGAAGCTCAAAAGCCCCCAAACCACTAAAACCATAAAATAAGTGTTGGCAATTCCTATACTATTTACATAAATATATTCAGCAAAGAGAGGTAGTGGAGGAATCAAATTGAGGGCTCCCTGTTCTCCAAAATTGGAGGCGAGAACTGGCTTTAGAGTTCACTGAATGTTTAAGGAAGCCCATTACTTTTTAAGAATGGACAGTACAAAATTGAAAAAAAAGCTGCCTGGACTGAAAAAAGAACCAGGGAAGTGCTCGAACTGGCATTACAGACCTCTGCTTAAATGAGAGACAAGAGCCCTACCCCCACACCCAAATGATAATCCTAAGCCTTATTCTTACCTAATGAGAGTGAGAGCAGGATATAAGGTGCACAGGAGTTAGGAAGCTTAAGGGTTATATCTTGGAATTTGGCTAATGACATTATATGCCAGGTACACCTGTGAGAAACCTGCAATTCATGGTTCAAACTTGGATGAGAAAATAGACCTGGCATATACAGGTGAAACTCAAAAAATTAGAATATCGTGCAAAAGTTCATTTATTTCAGTAATAAAACTAAAAAGGTAAAACTAATATATGAGATAAGACTCATTACATGCAAAGCAAGAAAAATTTTTCGAGTTTCACCTGTATTACAAAGATCTGAACAGATGAAAAGAGGAGTGTTCGCCTTTCAGGAATCCACCACATTTCTGAACGGCGAACACTCCTCTTTTCATCTGTTCAGATCTTTATAATACATGCCAGGTCTATTTTCTCATCCAGATGTAGCCTTAAGGTAGAGAAGGTTGGTGGAGTGAGATTGTTATTGTGACTTTGTCACAATATTATGATTCACAATTGGTGAAACAACGTCCAGAGGCATTGTTCCACCAATAACTGTATATGAGGTCTTGTTTTGTGAGTTTGCACCTGATAAACAAGCTAAGATGTTATAGATGATGCTACTTTACTGACCTCTCAAATTCTACAGCTTCACCCCTGCCTGCTCAATCTTTTCACAAGTTGGTATTAGATTTCTTTAGATTTTCAGTTCAAGCAACATTTCAACTTAAATCCCTGGCGAGGGGAGAAACAGCTTGTGAATTCATGGCCACCATGAAAAGTACTAGCTTGTTCAAAGTGATTACAGTGTATTAGAGCTGTGTTTTATCTCAGAGCAAATCATATTGTATTTGTCACAATATTGATAAAGAAATTTTCTAAAAGTTCACAAACTTTCACCATTGTACAGTGTAAATCATATCACAGAATTATATATAATTCTTAAAAGTTTGTAAAATATATAATTTAAATTATAACCGACTTTTTAAATAATTTGAGCTATGACTTATGTTAAATGCCTTTTTCTTTTCTTTGAATATATCATAGGCTGGAGTGAAAGGGACATTAGGAAGATTAGTAGGAATTTTTGAGGTAAGTACAAATATCAACAGAATTGATAAAACATTTTTATATGTGATTAAAGTTTGGAGACATGTAGAGGTTCTGTTATGGTAGGTTAAAAGATAAATTTTCTGATTTGAACCTTCTTCAAAGTGTGATAACACTTGCAAATGTAGGACAAAAATGCTTGAAGAAGTTTTATTTATGTTTTAACTTACTAGTAGTATCTGAATCTCAATTAAGAAATCAAGTCATAATTGAGCATTGCTGTTGATAAGACATATTGTAAGTATTGTCTCAACTCAATGCTAAGATTAGCATTGTTATAGTCGTTATATTTCTTTAAATTAACTTTATTTATCATCCTTTCAGAACCAAGACAGGAAACACAGAACGTATGTTTACGTACTTATTGTCACAGAAGTATTGGAAGATTGGGAGGATTCTGTGAATATTGGTAAGCAAACAAATTCATTTGTATCCCTGATTCTTTTTAGGAGGATAATAGTTGAATCCCCCCTATTTAGATTAAGGTTTATAAAATGTGAGTTAAAAAAAATAAAAATCTTATTTAGAAGATTTTTTTGCAGTTGTTACAAAGTTTATTATATTTTTGTTCCTTATATTTTCACAAAAATAGCACATAAATATTCACATCTTGGAAATATGTATTATTCAAAGTTTTATAGTACATGTATCAGATCCTTTTTTCAGAATCAGTTGTGGATTTCTAACCAAGAGTTAACCACTCACTCTTGCAGTATGCTGAGAAATATGCATGAAATAGCTATTCTTACCATCTTCCAGTTCTTATTTTTTTATTTGACCTTTCCAAAAGGTAGAGAAATGATAAAATGATAAAAATGTATCTAGTACATGTGCATGTTAAGGTAACAGTCTTACTTTATAATGTCCATGATTTGGGGAAGTGGCTTTTTCCTAATCTTAGATTTTCCATGTTTATATAGCAATAGCACTTAGACTTAACATATTTTTCGGATTATAAAACACACCTGAGTATAAGATGCACCTAAATTTAGAAGAGAAAAACAACAACAAAAGGTTTTTGGCCTGCTCACATCGCATTTTCAGCATTGGGAAAAAACGGCCCTGAAAAAAGCCTTAAAAATGGTCCCAAAAAAGCCTTAAAAATGCCCCCCCCCCCCAAAGCCTCAAAAACGGTTTGAAAAAAGCCTCAAAAACCCGAAAAAAGCCTTGAAAATGCTCGCCCAAAAGCCTCGAAAACAGGCCTGAAAACAGGGCATGCAGAGACCAAAAAAATGGCTGGTGGGTGGGTGGGGCTTCGGCAATATTCACTCTATAAGAGACACAGACATTTTCACCCCCTGTTGGGAGACAAAAAGGTGCGTCTTGTAGTCCGAAAAATACGGTATATACCACTTTATAGTGCTTTATATCCTTGAATAACAACTACCCATCTACAATTTGCAGAAATATAACAAGTTCCCAATATGATTCAGGTTTTTATTTTACATTCTATTTTACACATCCTTTTAATCATATATTAATTATTATTTTTTTGCCTGAAAAAAATTCATTAGCAAATAAACACTGTTTTTTTACTTGACTGAAAATTTGTTAACCAAATTATTTCCTTCTCAGCTACTAATTATAGTAAATTACTTCAATATATAACAAACTTTACAGGTGATACAATAATACTCAGTTTTTTCCTGTAATTGAATTTTAAGGAGATTGGTTAGTTAGGTTGCTTGTGCCAAAGTCTTCTTTAAAGATATGTTATGTCCTATATTCTTAAACTCATTTAGAGTGAAGTTCATAAATGTTTAAGAACTTAGAGGTGCTTAGTACCCTGAAGATATTTTGCTCTATACAGTAATATACCTTTATTGTGAAAAAGGGCGTTGGTACTTACCTGATACGCCTCTTCTCATAGAGAGGGTAGGAGTATCCAGAATGGGTTGACCTTATCCTCTCGTGATTGGATTGAGTCAGATAAGCTCTTTGGGCAACGCCCCCTGTCACCAGGTATTTCCCAGTTTTAATGACGAAGAGCTCTATCCGACTCGTTGCACCATTCACTCCAGACTCTTAATTCAGTTCTTAGCTTTTATTGTCTTCAACATCAATATTTATATAACTTCATAAACAATGAACATAACACTTAGTCGTACAAACATAGTCAGGGAGGGACTGGATACTCCTCCCCTCACTATGAGAAGAGGCGTATCAGGTAAGTACCAACGCCCTTTTTCACAATAAAGGTATATTAGTGTATAGAGCAAAATATC